TTTTGAGTGTTCTGTCCACTAATAATAATAATAATAATTTATTCATCAGTAAATCATAATACATAAATATAAAATGAAGTATATGAAGTACAATATACCTTGATGAATAAACGGATACTTCCACTGAGGGTAAAACCCTGTGCGTGGGTAAATTACAGAACAATAACAAAATAGAACAATTATATGAGTAGTGCTTGAGAGCTGAATAAATGAACAATAAACAATGGTATCACTGAAGAGACAATCGCAAGATTGCTCCTTTTGCGTGACATAGCCTCCAGAAATGATAAAAATGATTTTACAAAAATCTTTTATATATGATGGTTGAATCTCTGAAGAAGCTAGCCACTCGCGCCAGCGAAAAGTCAGGAAGGAATTCCAAAAAACAGTGACACTGAAAACCTCAGCCGCGAAAGTCTAAACCATTTTATCATATAGACATGTTTTCAGAAATAACTTAAAGTATTTGTCATGATCAAGTCAGATAGTACAATTGATATTTCCACAACCCTCAATTTCACTTGACAATGGAGTAATTTCCTCTTCAAAAGTTCATACTCACTTTCAACACACACTTTTTCTCAAAGTAATTAACAGTTTTTCGTTTCAGTAAAATTGATGAACTCAACAAATGTCAAACAACTGATATAAATTAGGAAATTTCATCTTTTCGATGATAGTATTTCAGGCATATCAAAATAGCAATCCACATTTTTGGCAATGTTCTTACACATACACTAAAACCCAATATTTCACTCCATCAGGTCCACACACAAAAACTTCCTTATTTTATCTCATTTTACCCGACCTGAAAGTTCTGCCTCCGCGATGACCCCCACAGAGAATTCTTTTGAAAGCTTGTCGGAATTCTGGACTGAAAATTGTGTATATAACAGGATTGAGAGTTGAGTTAAAATATCCCAACCACAAAGCGAAACTCATGATATATCCACTTATATTGCAGGAATCTCTGCAAAGAGGTAGTAATAATGCTAGAATGAAGAAAGGTAACCAACACATCACAAACGCTCCCGTTATGATCGCTAGCGTTTTAGCTGCTTTCCTTTCTCGTTTGGCCGCTAAGGTTTCTTTTTTCTCTTTTTTGGATGGTAGCAGTTTATCCATAGAAGCGGGATATGGAGATATCTCTCTATTCAAACAGTCAACTTTGGAATCGATTTGATGAATTGTGGATCCATTATTGGAATGTGGAGCAGATTTTTCAGGAGTTGAATTATTCGGGGTTTGAGCCTGTGAAGTGGGTTTCGAAATGGTAAATGCCGTGGTTTCCTCTGGATCCTTGAAGTATATTTCAGGTTCTTCTGCTATATCCATACTCGTTGTGGTAGACTGCCCTTCCATCATCGCCAAGGAATTGACGAGAGCTTCAGCAGCAGACGACTTTTTTTCTGAAAACCTCAGTTTGAGAATTCTCTTCTTGGATAGAAATCCCTTCGAAGATTTACTGTTATTATTACTTTTTTCAGCTTTTTGGCCTATTTGGCACGCCATTTCCTTTCTCCGACGAATTCTTTTTCGGGCTGTTTGGAATATTTTCCAGTACAAGATAAAAATAACCAATAGTGGCACATAAAATGTTGAGCTAGTGGCGAAGATTTGATATGTTAAATCTTGACTGACTAAACATTGCTTTTTAACATTGATTCTGTGAAGATAATCTGGATCTTTGAATTGAGGAATCTGCGGAGATAAAGAGACTATCAATGCAATGCTCCAGACGACGATAATCATGATACATATCCGACTGCTATTTCGTGTGTGGATGTAATCAACGTTCGTAACAGCCCAATATCTGAAATAGAAATAAATTGTGAGAAATAAAATGTAACAGAATTCTCGAAATATGATTTATAAAAAAAAATCTGAGACCCTACATTTCCTACACTTGTGAAATTTAAGAAGTATTTAGTGCTGCAAATCATTCATAGAGAAGTCGACCAATCATGAAGGCCAGTTCAATTTTGATATTGTAGAAAAATTCGTTTTGATTTCTTTCTCATTTGAATTATAGATTTTTCAGATTTTTCTTCTACAAACGAGTGACCAATATTTCTGACTAATATCTATACAGTGCATTTTGTTAATGTCAACTCAAAAAATTGAGATTCTACTTCAAAAATCCAAACAACAAAAAACTCTACTTTTTAATAAAGTTTGACATTGTCAACTAGAATTTGTAGTCACTATTGATAGTGTACTTTGATACATTATTTATTTTGTTTCGCTGAAATGGTTTACTCTTTGCAAGAANCGGAAAATCCTATATTGGTGAAACTAAGAGGCCATTGAATGTTCGTATTGCCGAGCACAAGAAACACACACAGCGAGGGGAAACCAGCAAATCAGGAATAGTTGACCATGTTTGCCTAGCTAGTTTGTCTGCTTTATCCTTGCCCACAATTCCTGTATGGGAGGGAATCCAGATTATTTCAATGCATGTATTGCTCTGAGATAATTCCCATAGTTCTTCTTTAATGATGTGAATAATGGCATTCCGGGGGTAGACAAGCGTGCTCCAATCCTCTCGCCAACCGTACCCAAAAAAATCCTCATCAAGACTACCACTTCGTAATCAAGCAACACATGATGAATAAGTGGAAAAAAAGATGGACCTCCATAGAAAATGATAAGTTGAAAGAGATTAACCCAGGCTTGTCCCCTCAGAATTACTACTCAATCTCGAGAAGATATCAAGTTGTTCTCTCCCGTGTAAGAATCGGACACACCAGATTAACACACCAACACCTGATGAAAAGAGGAGATTCTGCAAAATGAATATATTGTGATCAGATAAATAGTGTTAAACACATCGTCAACTAGTGCCCGGCTTATGAAGAGAACAGACGTCAGTCAAAGTTATCCGGTGATTTCGGTCGAGCATTAGAGCTGAAGAATATTGAAAATTTCATTCATTTTTTGAAAGACATCAATGTTCTTGACAAAATTCAATTGTTTCAATCTTTCTTTTTTTTCTCAATTTCATCAGTATTGTAATCAATTGTACTTCCGCTAATAACCCCCGATGTTGATGCGGTTATTTTGACATAAAAAAAAGATCATGTTTGGACCCATCAACACAACATCGAGTGGTCCCAAGCTGAGATCTTGCACAGAGAGGAACATTGGTTCAGAAGAGAATTCAAGGAAGACGCATACATGTTGCCCCACGGAACCACTGAAGCGGAAAATGGAATGCGGGGATAAGTGAAAGTACTCGAACGACCTATAAATAGTCATCTCTCGGAGGAATCAGTCCAGTCATCACCCGAAGACGATTGTAGATACTAACAATCGAAACGTCATGAACTAAAGTGACTTGGAATCTCTCCATTTCTTATTTTTATTTTCTTTTTTCATTTCTTCATTTTCATTCATTCGATTGTTCTATTTTTACTTGTATTTTATTTCACTATTATTTCATTTCAGGTTTATTTTGCTTGATATAATTGTTATTTTCAGCTATTCATTTTTAATTCTTCCTTTTCAGTTGTTTCAGGGATTTCAAATCATTTTATATAGTAGACAATGGAACGACTTCATTCTAAAATGATAGCAAATAGGAATACTGACATTAGATAAGTTGAAAATATGAAATACTGCACATATAGTGATGTTTACAGACAAAAAGTAAATAGANAAAATTAATTTTGAAGTGTTCATTTCCTTATACAAATGAATGTTTCCTCAATATTCTTTTCTTTTGATATACCTTTCGATTTAACTAAGAGATTTGTTGAAGTTGGACAGTCGACTGCTTAACCTCCACCTGAACACTGGAAAACTGATCAATCAACTCAACTCACTGTGGGTGGAAACAACTTCTGTCATTTACGATTGATATGAGTGACGCAAGAAAGCAAGTTGTGGGAGAGCTACATATGCCGTCTCGTCTAAATTTGCCCCGGAGAAAGACGGCAATGAAAGGATTTTCGTTTTCGTGGTAGATGGATTAAATGGATTTGCAATCATGAACTGAAGATAATGGGGGTTATAAGAACAAACTCATCATGATGAAGTAACGTCACATAACTTGGTTTGGAATCTTTTCATTCTTATTTTTCATTTTTGTTAATGATATTTTCAAATTTTCAGCTTTTATTATTATTTCAATTTCATATTTTCTGGTAGTAGCTTGTAATTTCAGTTTTTTGTTTTAATAAAATTGTTATTTTCGGTTAATCTTTTATTTTTGTCAGGGATTTAAAATGAATTTATATTATATTAGACAATGGAAGTCTGAACTGATGATATACAAACATTGTCAACCACTTTCAAACAAATGGTCATTTCTTATCCTTAAAAATAATACTTTCATACTGCAGCTATGGCAAGTGTGCTTGAAGCTGTGGAATTCACCACGAAAAACTTGTTACGCGATCATGACAGTAACATTTAGGTTTGTTTGAAGGTGTTTGACAATGTTTCATGATGGATTTCATTAGTTCAGACTTCCATTGTCAAATCTAATATATAAAAATGGGTGTTTGTTGGTTGGTTGGTGAGTGATAAACTTCTACATCGCTCAACCGATCGTGATGAAACTTGACATGTATGAGTAATTTCTCATAGAAAAGGTTTTTAGGCTATCAATTTTTCTGTAACTCGGCACTAGATGGCGCTGTAGAACAATTTTTTGGAAGCACTGTTCTATAACGCTGTGCACGCCTAAGTTTGTTCAAATAGTACTAGTATCATATAAAATAATTTGAAATCTCTAAAAGAACCAATACATATTGAAAATTAAAATTAATAGCTGAAAACAATAATTATATCAAGCAGAAAAACCCTGAAATGAAATTACAGTGACATGGAATACAAGAAAAAAAATCAAACAAAAAATTAAAACCTGAAAAATCAAGAGACTCCAAGCCACAACTGATGTCTGGACTAATTTCTCTGAGAGGATCATTCGAGTACTTTCACTTATCTCCGCTTTCTTCTTTCCGCTTCACGGGTTTCGCGGGAGATGACCGTTTGGCGGGAGTTGGCCATTTTTCGCTTGATTATGGGTTTCCATATATTGCGTATCTCTACGCTACCTTGGCTAAATATTTCGTTGGACAACATTTAAGCGGCTCTTTGAATTTCCTCCAGAACCAGTGTTCCTCCGTGTGTATGATCTCAGCTTAGGATCACTCGATGTTATGTTGATGGGCCCAAGCGTGCTCTGCTATTCCTGATTTGCTGGTTTCCCCTAGTTGTGTGTGTTTCTAGTGCTCGGCAATACGAACTTTCAATGGCCTCTTAGTTTCACAGACATAGCATTTTCCGAACTCATAGAGTATCCGATGAGTGCAATTCTTGGAATCGCAGTCCACGTTTGGTGGCCTGGTTTTCGTGAGGTTACTACCTATAGTGTTTCTGGATCTGAACCAGATCCTGATATTGTACTTGGACCCAATTCTTCTCATCCTTTCCGATAATCCTCTGATGTAGGGAAGTGCAAGCACTGGTTGCGAGGCTCTTGTTGTCCTTTAGCCAAAGTGTGTTTCACCGTCGCTTTGGAGTAGCCATTCCGTTGAAGATCATTTTTGATGATGTCTAGTTTCTTTCCGAAACCTTCCTGTGCATTACAGAGCCCAGAAGCACGATCTGATAGAGTTTTGATGATTCCTCTTTGAGTCGATTGATGGTGGTTGGATTCGTGGTTCAGATACTGTCCCGTGTGACAGGGTTTTTGGTAAACAGTGTCAGTCCTCCTCATCAATACGTCTGAGAATGTCAATTCCTTGTGTACTTTCATCTCCATGGTGTGTTGATGTATTTCAGGAAGGCGTTCAGTATTCCCATGGTTCCATATTACGAAGGTGTCGTCAACGTATCCAAACCAAACTCATGGTTTTTTGTGGACTTCGTCAATGACTAGAGTTTTGAATCACTCCATATACAGTATCACCATTAAAGTGCGCACCATATCGGAAACTTTTTTTTCGAAAAGTTTCAATGAAGTTTAACTTCGACACTTGTTTGTGCTTTAAATTCAACTTGAAATGATGCGGCCAACTGCGACCCACTGACGTTCAGTGTTTGTGAAATTCAATTTTTTTTTTGAAAAATATTGAAAAAGCGCATTTCTAGATCGAATTCAACAAAAAGTTAGTTGAAAATGTTGTGTCTACGGCAATTGTATATCCATATGCCAAATTTTATGCAACTAGGATAAAGTTAAAGTTTTGCCTATTTTTGACAGATATCCCCTTTATTTTAAAAAACGAGTTTGGTTAATTGTCATCAATTCATGTATACATAAAAATCTCATCATGGAGTTTAACTTTTATGATAAATTTTTTATAGAACATTTCTAATTTCTCTCTTAAAATGTTTGTATAAGTAAAAATGTATCAGAAAAGATAAACTCCATGATGAGTTTGTTATGTATACATGAATTGATGACAATTAACCGAACTTGTTTTTTAAAATAAAGGGGATATCTGTCAACAATAAGCAAAACGTTAACTTTATCCTAGTTGCATAAAATTTGGCATATGGGTATAAAATTGCCGTAGACACAACTTTTTCAAGTAACTTTTTGTTAAATTCAATCTAGAAATGCACTTTTTCAATAAAAAAAAAGTTGAATTTGACAAACACTGAACGTCAGTGGGTCGCAGTTGGCCGCATCATTTTAAGTTGAATTCAAAGCATAAACAAGTGCCGAAGTTGAACTTCAATGAAACTTTTGGAAAAAAAAGTTTCCCATATGGTGCGCACTTTAATGGTAACACTGTATATGTTGGCTATAACTGATGGTAGTGGCGATCCCATTGTCCGTGTGAAGAATTCGTCCTTCAGTTGGAAATAACAGTTTCCTACACAGCATCCTAGTAAGTTAAAGGATAATATGGTTTTAGGATTATGAATTATCATAGGTAATGAGAGAAAGCTGCAATTGTGAGTTATTAGAACAATGATGATTTGACTTTATAGGAAATTCCAAAGTGATTTCACAAGGTTGAATATTTTTGCTACCAATCAATATAACAACAATGTTTATCGTACCATTATGGAATACTGAACTTGAATCATGCATTTCTGCAATCGAAGCCATACCTAACTTCGCTACTTACACCGTTCTGCTGATGGAAACTAATTCAAAAACATGTATTTGTGAATTGCATTTTTGAGTGCCACTTCTACGATATAATAAGATTCAGAAAATCTGAAGTTTTTCAGTTTGGAAATGAAAGTTTTGAATTAGACCAGAAATATAAAAACATAGATTTACCTGTCAACTGCTATGGCTACTAAATGTAAAATGGAAGCTGTACAACAAAGAACATCTATGGAAGTCCACATATCACATAATTCCGGACCCATAATCCAGTTGTTACTTATCTGAAAAATGAAATAAAATGAAACAGAGTTCAGATTTCAAGTAGAATAGAGACCCCACTCTAGCTTACTTATGGCGCATTGATAATGCGTGCAACTTATATTTATATATGCAACTTATTTCAGGTTCGCAAAGAATAGAAACTCAAAGTCGTTTTCACAATTTACTATCACCCTCAGATGTTAGAACGGTAAAATCATCATTCAGTATATGTTTAGAACCTATTTAAGTTCGACATCTAACATCAGCTAATTATTTAAAAATTAACAATCGTTAACCCTGCGTCCGAACTTTTGTAAGGGTGGGTGTGTGAAACCCCAATATGATTTTTCTGTTGAAATTACCATTTTTTTTAATTTTAACATTGTTGTTATGAGAATTCTATACTGTAATATCTCTTTTTGCAATAAAATCATTTTCAATTCACCAAAACGAGCAAAAAATCGTTAAATTCCGTCTTTACCAAAACAATAGGTTCTTTTAGTGGAAAAAATAGATGTACTCGAAGAAGTCTTTGGCACATGAAATGATTGAATAAATATCAAATTGCTGGTTTGAACAGTAAAAAAAACATCATAAAATAGAAATGAAAAAAATATTATAGGAAATCTGTTCACTCTCTCTTGTTTTTGCGTATAGTTCCTACCGCAGTGAGTCTATGTTCTTGGTACAACTTCACAAAAAGTTCATAACTTGTATACCAGTTGTCCATAGTGATGTTTCTTTTAGTTTTTGATACTGTCGTGGCTCCAGTATCAACCTTTCCACTATATCTTTGGGACTGTTACATGTATGTAAATGGTCCTTCGGGTTGTTTGCCCATGTCAACCTCCATGCCATATTTGGCTGGTTTGTTCGGTATATACTGGCTAAAAGGGCATTATATACTAACGGATACCCTAACTTATGTTAGGGTATCCGTGAATTGCGTAATCTTGCAGGTAGACATGGTTATGAAAAGTGCTGTTGAGTATCTCTTATTGAGAATCAAAAACCGACAACATAGTTTCATTGTCGGTGTTTTTTATAGACAACCTAGTGCTCTATTGGATGACGTAATACAAGATGTGAATAATATTTTGTCTATGACATATCATACTGCGGATTGGATAACTTGCTTGGGAGATTTCAATGTAAATTTCTTTAATTTAGATAATTCGCTTATGCATTGCTTCGAATCATTTGGTTTTTCACAAATTATCAATGTTGCAACAAGAACTACTAGCACTTCTAGTACATTACTCGATGTTATTTTAGTTTCGGATACTGATTTAGTGAACAAATATGGTACCTTGCCTGTACATAAAATTTCAGATCATGATTTGACATTTTAAGAAGTAAATATTCCTATTCTACACAGCAAACCCAGAATCATCACATATCGTGACTTTCGTCACTTCAACGTAACTAATCTTTTAGATGATCTTCATGATCTTCCATGGCACAATGTCATTAATAATAATAACATCGGCAAAACAATTGAAATTTTCAATGAATTTATCATCTCGGCATTTGACAATAATGTTCCTTTAGTTCAAAGGAAAATAACTAAACAACCAGCTCCTTGGCTAACAGAAAATCTTGTAGTATTGAAAACAGAGAGAAATAGAGCACTGAAGAAATTCAAGAGAACAAAAATTAAATCAGATTTTGATATTACCATTTCAGTAATCAGAAGTGAAAAAAAAGTTTACCTCAATCATGTACTCCAAATGATAGACTCGAAAGCATCCTGGAGAACTCTGAGGAACCTGAGTGTTCACTGAAGTCCGAAAAATTCGATACCTGAGCATTTATCTAACCTTAATTCTTTGAACAATTTTTTCTCTATCTATCTGCAAAATGTAACCAGTAATTGTGATGATAAAATGATGTTCTTCAGTAGATCTGTTCAAGATACACAATGTGATTTTTCATTTAGGTTGATCACCATTGAAGAGGTCAACAATATATTGCATAATATTCGGACTAAAGCTTTTGGAACAGA